TCCCCAGTCCATTTTCAACATAACCGGGGCACATGATCCAAAAAAGGCCATTGTCCTATTTCTACTTTCAACCAAAAAACATCTATAAGTCCGATGATCTATCTATATATAATCCTACCATCGAATACAATCTCATGTATCTTCTGCTCTTTGAGAAGGAATAGTATAGTCTCTATCGTTCCCTATGCATAAATTCTCCATGAATCCACCATTGGAACTCATGGATCACTTTCGTTACGTAATCCAGAGACCTACCCCCCTCTTCTGCACAGAGAGAGGTTGCATCTCCAGCCATGTATCAAACAACACTTTCTTTAAAGTCCATCAATTTTTTAGCACACTTTTCAAGTATATCTCCCCGTCACCTTTTGACCAATATATATTAGCTACTGTACACTCCACCTCCTCCCAATCCCCTCTTTCATAAAAACAGATATCTCAGCCTCCTCGGGGTCTAATTTCTCTATCTCCTCCAGCTCAAATCTTGCTCTATTTTTGCAAACCCTATGTGCCACAGCTCTTTTGCTCTACCTCATCGTGGGGAATCTGACATAATACCATGTTTGATCAATGTCTGAGATTTTATCCTTGACCTTTGAATTTATCTCAAAAATGTGTCTCTCTTGCAAGAAAAACCACCCAATGATGCTCTATAATGTAGCTCTTTAAATAGCCACCTAAAATCCTTTTCCTCCAGGACAATTCAACCGATTTTCATTTTAAGTAATAACTTGTAACGCTTACATCCTTCCTTAATATTCTCTCTTCATCTCCTTCCTCTCCCTTCCTCCCTGATCCCTTCTTCATTGAATCTAGTTACCTTCCTTCAATCATGCCAGAGTGTTAACCCTAATACCCCTTCCCCATTCCCATACTTTACAAAATCCAATCATATTTCCTGTGATTTGTTGGCTACTAACCATTCATGCCCAGCGATAATCTAAGGACATATTTTCCAGACTGCTATCTCCTACACCTTTTCCGTTTTATACGTTGATGCTTTCTGGGTGTCAGCAATTTCCTTCGAGACATATATATTTTTTAACGTTGTTCCCGCTCTGGAACCTTTACGCACACTTCCTTTAGTAACTTTATTCTTCATGTCTTCTTGTGGGCCTTATTCCCCTCCCTCCTCTGTGGTCCTCATATAATAATAGATGTTTGCACAATTACAGTCATGGCCGAAAATTGTTGGCACCCTTGATAATTTTTCCTGCAAATCAAGTATTTTCACACAAAAAAAGTATTGCATGAACACATGTTTTGCTATACACATGGTTAATTCCCATTTGTATGGTATTGGAACAAAATATAAAACAGAGGCAGAATAGCAAAATATGAACATAATGTCACACACAAACCCCAAAAATGGGACATAGGACTTAAAACAGGTATTGAGCACCCTTAACTTTATATATAGTTGCACACCCTTTGGAAAACAATAACTGGAAATCAGTCGCTTCCCTATAACCATTCATATAGCTTCATGACCACGCTCTCACCCGGGAATTTTGCGACCACTCTTCCTTTGCAAAACAGTCCAGTCTCTCTTATTGGAAGGTCACCTTTTCCCAACACATTTTTTTTAAAGATCTCTACTCACAGGTGGTTCAATGGGATTTTTAGATCTGGGGCTTCATTTGCTGGCCACTTCAGAACTCTCCAGCGCTTCTTTGGACCATCCATTTCTGAGTGCTTTTTGACCGTATGTTTTGGGTGTCATTGTCCCGCCTGGAAGACCCAGGATCTTGGACGAAAACCCAGCTTTCTGACACTGGGCCCTAAACTGTGCGACCCAATAATCCTTTGGTATTCCTCCAGATTTCATGTATGCCTTGGCTCACAGTCAAGCGGCACCCATGTGCCAGGAGGCAGCAAAACAACCCCCAAAAAACATCAGTTGAACCTCCACCATATTTTTACGCGTAGGTTACTGTGTTTTGTTCCTTTGTAGGCCTCATTCCGTTATCGGTAAACAGTAGAATGATGCTGCTTTACGAAAAGCTCTTTCTATCTTGTGAAAGTCTTGAATTACTTGGTCCCATCTGTCACAAGGACGTATTCCCAAGAAGGCTTTTGGCTACACAAAGTTACATTTTTGGCAAACTGTAGTCATGTCTTTTTTATGTCTCTGTGTCCAGCCAGTGGGGACCTCCTGGGTCTCCTGCCCATAGCGTGTTCATTTCAGTTATATGTCGGGTGACAGGATAGTTCCGCGCTGACACTGATTGCTCCCAGAGCCTGCAGGACAGCTATGGAATGTCCTTTGGAACATGTTTAGGTGTCTGCTTATCCACCATCCCGGAACTATTCATGCGTGCAATCTTTACATGCAAATTTTCCTCATCCGGTCCACGACCAGGGAGATTAGCTACAGTGCCAATGGGTTGCAATACTTACTTGATAATGTTGCGCCACTGTGGAAACAAAGCAAATCTAGTTCTATGGGAGATGACTTGTAAACCTTGGAGATTGTTGATATTTTTGCCACAATTTTTGGTTCTCAGGTCCTCAGACAGTTCGCGGCACAGCTTTCTGTGTGTCCCATGCTTAGTGTTGGCACAGGACAGACACACAATGCAAAGGTGTAAGTGAACTTCTCTCTTTTTATCATGCTTTCAGGTGTGATGTCTATATTGGCCCACACACCTGTTGACTTGCCCCAGGTGAGTTTACAGAGAGCACTCCACATGCGTGTAAACATTCTTATTTATCCGCCAGTTGTGAAAGGGTGCCAATACTTTTGTCCAGCACATTTTTGGACGGTTTGTGTGACATTATGTCGAATTTGCTTTCTTTCCACCATTTTTTTTGTTGTTTGTTCCCCGATATACACACAAAGGGAATAAAAACATGTGTATAGCAAAACAATAGTGTGTTAAGTGCAATAGCAGTTTCGTGAGAAAATACCTGATTTTACTGAGAGAAATTATCAAGGGTGCCAACAATTTCGGGTCATTGAACTGTAATATGGTAGGGACCCACCTTTTGCACTAACCAATTTTGTCCAGTTACTCTCCTTAATTCTGCTGCTTGTTACCACTGCATCAAAGACCTTGGGAATCCGCTCATTCCTCTCCTTCATTCCTTTCGCTCTTATAAACAACTACCATTGAAACACTTAACACAAATATTAAGCACCAGCCCGCCGCACTCACTCACCCTCCTCTCTCCTCCTTTTCTTGCAAAGTGGCGCCGGGCTGCAGACATCAGATTACTTTTCATCAGATCAATTCCCACCAGGGGGATTCCTCAGAGTTGCTTCAATGCTATTTCCCTGGTTCTTCCCCAGTAGGGGGTCTATCCATGGTTTCAAAGAATGCCATGGGCACGTGTCCTCTCTCTGGTCTGGGTGACAATGCCTGGACATACACTGAGGAGCCGACAGTCCCTCTCCTCTCAGGACGCCTGGGCCGGCTGTCTCCCTTCCCACGCACTTCCTTTGCGGCATGTGCCACTGTGAGCTGTAAGGACTCCTAGGCAGGGAACGGAGCTCCCTGCTACACTGCGGCTGTCCTCAGTCGCACCAAACGCATGCGCCCCCAACAGAAGTGGAATAAGTTTAACATTGTGGTCTCTTGTAAAAATAACGACATGGACTCGATGATGAAGTGCATGTTATAGAAAATTTTTGTGAGACTTTCTGTGCGTGTGTTGTTAAGGGCCCTTACATTAATGGACCCAAAGTTTTATCATAAGTCAACGATGGTAGGTAAAATACTAGTTGGATTGTTCGTACGTAGGTCACACCATTTCCTATCTATGCCATAGAAAAAACAGTGAAAAGAAAAAGAAAGGGTAAAAGGAAATGAAAAGTAATATAGAAAGAGAAAAAGAGACTAGTTCTAACTGAATTCACATAATATAGGTATGTGTACTATTCTGACCATGAAATCACCTGAACAACTCAAGTGGTGGCAAGTATCTACTGTAATAATTCCTACACCTCTAATAGGAGGAAATTGTACAGTTACCCTGACACAGGGGGCTGTACACCTCACAACCCAGACCTCCAGCCCAATTGGGGCATGTATAGACACAGAAACGGGGGGACAAATCCCCCGTCAAACAGTAAGGCCCCAACACATGGAAATAGGTGGTATTCTTAGAAAGTATAAAGGCTGATAGGGGAAGTGAGTCCCATCTCCAAATTGAGACATTCAAATTAACAAATGTTGGAATACATGGACGGACAGGTTCACTTAATGCTGTAGATACAGTATAGCTGGTCTTTGCAATTCAGTAAACATAACTATAGCTTAACAAAAATGTGCTTTAAATAACCTCCCCAAGGACATAGTCAAAAAAGTGCGAGGGTCTCAATTAAAGACACAATAGGGAGAGCTTTCAGTTTATGTCCACATAGTGCCCATCAGCTCTCCAAGAGGACCACTTGCAGTCCCACTATATCCATGGGGTTGTCATTGGGACATCAATTGTTCAGTGGACTTCAGAGGAGTACAGATAGGACCCCAAATAATACCATGTGGCAGGAGGTTGTACCTACTTTTCTATATTATGCAACTGCTGTCTAGTACCATTGAAAAGCCCTCAAGCTCTTCAGGCAATTATCTATAAATTTAATTAATAATATCTCAAAACCTGAATAATGCCCAATACTCTAATCCTTGGATTATCCTTTCACTTTAAATAGCAACCTAACATAAAAATACATATACCGTTATTTTGTGCTCCATAAGACGCACTTTTTTCCCCAAAAAAATTGGGGGAAAATGTCTGTGCATCTTATGTAGTGAATATGGAGTGGCCGGCCCAGTATTCCCCCATCGCCGCCGACTGTGTTGGAATACTGAGCTGGCCACTCGGCTCTACTGTGCAGAAGAACCCACTCTTCCATCCTTAACCTGTTCTCGGTCCAGCAGTGTCCTGCTTTCATTGGTCGTCTTCTCTCCCTGGCGCCGGCATCTTCAGTGTGGGTACCCGCTGTGACAGCTTGCGGCTTTCCAGCCAGGTGCCCGCTGCGCATGTTGCAAGAAGCGCTGTGCTATTTTGAATGGCCCCGTAGTCTTGTGGACTTGTGGGTCATCTCCTGTACTATAATCTCCTGTACTGCAGCAGTCTCTGGTACATCTCCTGTACTGTGTCCGCAGTCTCTGGTTTTCTCCTGTACTGTGTCTTCAGTCTCTGGTCATCTCCTGTACTATGTCTGCAATCTCTGGTCATCTCCTGTATTGTGTCCGCAGTCTCTGGTCATCTCCTGTATTGTGTCCGCAGTCTCTGGTCATCTCCTGTACTGTGTCCGAAGTCTCTGGTCATCTCCTGTACTGTATGCGCATTCTCTGGTCATCTCCTGTACTGTGTCTGCAGTCTTTGGCCATCTCCTGTACTATGTCTGCAGTCTCCGGTGATCTCCTGTAGTATGTCCGCAGTCTATGGTCATCTGTAGTATGTCCGCAGTCTCTGGTCATCCCTGTACTATGTCTGCAGTCTCTGGTCATTTCCTGTACTATGTCTGCAGTCCATTGGCTCAGAATTTCTTTTTTCTTTTTTTCCTCCTCTAAAATCTAGGTGCAGCCTATGGTTAGGTGCGTCTTATGGAGCAAAAAATATGGTACATACGTATTACACCTTGACTATCTGATCTATTTTATCCCATTACTCAACTGCATTTCCTGGGGACTGGGACTTCGCTAATTTTTCCTCTAATCTTATATATCTTATATAATCTTATATAAGCCAACATTTTGAACAAAACCTAGGCCTGGCACTGCCATTTATATCACAAAAGACATAGAGAAATCTGGCGTTAACATCCTAGGCCGTAATATTGCAATACTCCCAAAGGCACATAAAAATGTCAAATTGTGCTCAGACTTGATCAACTTAATAAAAAATATGAGCTCATGTGAAAAGATAATTACCACCGCAGGCCCACTCAACCCTTTGATGACTAATCATGATTTTTTTTTTCATCTGGAACTCCCTCTTAAATCTGGCACATGTACGCATTTGCTTTTTAGTGATTTCAATGTGAAAGGCAGGTTCCATTCTAAATTTGCAATCAGCAATGTTCACACTTACCGATTGGCAATATTTCCAGTGCAGAGCCCTCATAACAAATAACAAGATTAAGAACTGCATTTTCCGCCTCTCCCACATAATGTGAAAGGCTATGAACAACTGTTGCTCCCATTAGACATGGTATACACTATTTATAAAAAAAAAATGTGTAAATCCTACACTGCCACACACTCATACATGTATACTGCCAATCAGCACTATATATAATTTACACTATTTACAGTATATGAAATAAATGGAAATTGCTAGTGCAGTGCTCTTAAAAGAAATATTATATATCACTAAATCTCATTTAGAGAATGCTACACTAGTATTTTCCATTTATATGATATAGTCATACTCCATTCTATGCTAACAGCCTCATGTGGCCCCCTACTGACCCCGGGCCCTCGGGCAGTGCCCGAGTTTCCAAATGGTCAGTCCTCCCCTGATAGAAACTATTAGCCAGATGGTACAGAACCCTACAAGGACTTTATCATATTTACCCTAAAGTCTCTGTTGGTGAATATGTAATGAAAAAGTCTCCACACTGAATTCATGATAGAATAAATTAAAATAATAGCTTCTGTGCTAATCGTTTACATATACAGTAAGCCAATAGTAATAACTGTTGTTCCTATAGATGATAGGGTATACACAGTTTCTTGGGAAAACAAAGAAACACAGCACCTCTAAGTGTGTACTGTGAAGGTATTTAATAAAAAGATAAGTAGTAACTCACATCTTAGAATTTAAAAAACAGGCTCATGGGTGAGAGGGTGAGAGGTCTGTAGCCAGAAGATTTTGTGTGTCTGATCCAGAGAGGAGATCAATGGAGTCTGTCAGCAGGTGGTGCTGTGCATGTGCAACATGGATGGTAAGCCTGGTGGAATCTCCAAGGTATAAGTTATTACTTATCTTTTTACTAAATACCTTCAAAGTACACACTTACAGGCGCTGTGTTTCTTTGTTTTCCCTTCTGCAGAGTCATGCTTCGCTCCTACGCAGCTTGCCCTTAGTGCCTACTGGACTACCTTTACCCCTGCCCATTTGGAACTCATCAAACATACATGGACTGCCACACCATGCGCCTGTTATCCCTTTTGTATACACAGTTTCTTGGTGTGAGTAGCTTCCCTAATTAAGATAATTCTACCACTCTATTAAGTGCAGGATCCACATTATTTTCTTTACATTCATAGTGGGAATGACAAAACATTGTTCCCTTATGGAATTAAATAAAAAATCTGATCGATCAAATAACAGGACAAACTACTCCTTATAATCCACAGTCATTCTTCTACATGATTCTCCACATTTCTCCCTCTGCCTTTAAAAAAATCACTTACAAGTTTCCTTTAAAAAGTGGCAGAATCACAAATACCTTTACATTGGAGCAAAAACAGCCCACCAACCCTGAAGACATGGTAGACCTAAGTCAAGTTTGAGGAAATGAGAGCCACTAATACGATACTGTAACCAACCGTCTCTCAGTGTGGTCTGCTCATAAATGCTACATCAGGGGAATCCTCATAAAATTTGGCTATGCCACCAAACAAAAGCATGCCAAAACTTTAACTGACCTTTTACAAAGCTCCATGTCCTGGAACGGCAACACAAAAAAACAGCCTAATCGTACAACTGAGGCAGAGTTGGTTAGGCTCAGAGAGGCGATCAGGGAACACTCCTTGAATAAAGTAAAGCATATATTGCTGAAAACCCATCATTCTTTTTATGAATATGGTGACAAATGTGGCCGCTTATTAGCCAAGGCTTTGTGGGACAAACACTCCCAATCTTATATTCCAGTCTTGCTCACTCCATCTGGATCTAAAGTCCACTCTTCTCCAAACTTGGCAGAAGCTTTTCGTGACTTTTACCTTAAACTTTGCACTATAGACTCAGCCTCCTCCTCCCACGACCATCCAGGATTATCTGCATGAGGCTAATCTACCTGCCCTCACACCTGAAGACAAGGAGGTGTTCTAGAGGAATTTGCATCGGCCATAGTTGAAACCCAACCTGGGAAGGCCTCCAGACCTGATGGATTCTCACTTCTTTACTATAAAACATACCAGGAACACTTGGCATATCACTTTATCACATCCTTCAATGCTATCCTGGATGGGCACAGTATTCCCCCAGGCATGTTGCATGCCTCTATTACGGTAATCCCAAAACTGGGTAAGGACCCATTGCTTTGTTCCAGTTACAGACCTATCTCCCTTCTGAACACTGACATCAAACTCTTTACCAAAACCTTAGCCTCTAGATTGAATGTCCTACTGCAACATCTCATTGGGACAGACCAAGTCAGCTACATCCAGACAAGAGAGGCGAGAGACAATACTATTAATGTTATAGATAAAGCAAAGTGATCCCACACCCCCCTTTTACTCCTGTCTACTGATGCGGAAAAGGCGTTTGACTGGGTGGATTGGAGGTTTCTCCAGAAGACACTCGCTTTGTTGGGAAGCCGACACCTATCTTGGCCTGGATCTCTGCTTTATACTTTAATCCTATGGCTACAGTGAACAGTTTCGAATCTAACCCTTTCACAATCTCAAATGGCACAAGGCAGGGCTTTCCCCCTACTATTTGTTCTCTCTCTAGAGCCTCTCCATCACCATGTAAACAATAATCCAAATATTAGAGGTGTTCCAGCAGGCAAATACCAACACAAACTGGTGGCTTATGCAGATGACCTCTTATTTTATGATGCTGAACTTCTACCATCTTTACCTTCACTGCTGCAAGAGCTGAACCAATATGGAACCCTATATAAGTTTAAAGTTAACCTCCAAAAATCAGAGGCTTTGAATATCTCTGTACCGGATTAAAACCCTGTGGGGCCTACTCCCCTTTTTTCCCATTCAAGTGGGCTTCCCATTCTATACAATATCTGGGGATGAAAATTCCCATGAATTTGAAGGACATTCTTCCTTTAAATTTCTTGTTCAAACTTTTTATTGGTATCAAAACATAAGGGTAAAGACAATAATTGTAGGCAATAGACATCATATTGACAACAGAATATCGGGGAAATGTATGTACATTATTACTGTCTTCAAATAAAAAGGGAGCAAAAGAGTCAAGGTAACAATGTAGTATAACTTATGTTGTTAAATATATTAATAAGAAGAAAAAGAGAAAAAAAAAGGGGGGGGGGGTAAAGGAAGAAATATAGTAGCAATAGGAAATAACATGTCAAAGAGAGTTTGTTCAGTGGGGATAAAGATTCCAGAGCTACGTGGGGAGTTAGGGGAGACAGGGATGACCAAGGAAAAGGGAGGGAGGGAGGAAGAAGGGTGGTGAGGAAGGTGGCTCCATGATTTGTAGGGAAGATTGAAATTAGGTTGTTTGCCTGGCTAGGGATGGTATCAGGAAAAAGCGGAAGATTTGTTGCTTGTGTATCAGGGTAGAAGGAGGGATTCATCAAAAGCACTCTACCCAGGGATTACAGACATTCAGGAACTTAGGGATTGTATCGAGAATTGTGGCTTCAACCTTTGCATGTACCATGGCTTGCGTTACTCTGATTTTGACAGCAGCAATTAGAGATGAGCGAATCGAACCAGGCGAAGTGGAATTCGATTCGAATTTCAGGAAAAATTTGATTCGCGTCCGGGTGCGCGAATCGGATTTTTCCCGATCAGCCGGCAAAAGTGTCCCTGCAGAGAGCTCCGCTATTTCTGACAGTTCTGTGACATTCACTCCATACAGCGGTTGAAACATAGCCTATGTTTCAACCGCTGTATCTATCTGCAGAGCTCCGCTAAGTGTATCTGCAGAGCTCCGCTATTTCTGACAGTTCTGTGACATTCCCTCCATACAGCGGTTGAAACATTGTATCTATTTGTTTCCATAAATGGAAACAAATAGATACAATGTTTCAACCGCTGTATGGAGGGAATGTCACAGAACTGTCAGAAATAGGCTATTTCTGACAGTTCTGTGACATTCCCTCCATACAGCGGTTGAAACCGCGGTTGAAACCGCTGTATGGAGTGAATGTCACAGAACTGTCAGAAATAGCCTATTTCTGACAGTTCTGTGACATTCCCTCCATACAGCAGTTGAAACTCCTTCTTCTCATCCTTCTCCTTCTCCTTCTCCTTCTTCTCATCCTTCTCCATCTTCTCATCCTTCTTCTTCTCATCCTTCTCCTTCTCCTTCTTCTCATCCTTCTCCTTCTTCTCATCCTTCTCCTTCTTCTCATCCTTCTTCTCATCCTTCTCCTTCTTCTCATCCTTCTCCTTCTTCTCATCCTTCTTCTTCTTCTCATCCTTCTTCTTCTTCTCATCCTTCTTCT